ACAAATGGACTATCAGCATTCCTGAGAAAATTGCATTGTGAAAACTAAGATATTGTATTAGTTGTGTCCAACTTCACAAATTAAACCACTGAATCAACCTTTCAAAGCCAAATATTTTTAAAGTATTCATACAAAATGGGTAACTGACCTGTCAATAATGAAATCAATGACAATTGCTACTTGCATTCCATTTAGTATACACAAAAAGAAAAATGTAGAAAGCTTTTAAAGGGAGGGAAGGGGAGGGAAGTCCATTTAAACTTTATTATTCAAAAATAGTTTATTATTCTTTTTTCTTTTTTTATTGTCACAGTGCTTTAAAAGCAGCTCAAATGCTCAGATTGACTTTTATGTCTCTCACAGTAAGCATAACATAATTTGTGCCATATTAATAACTTTGAGAAAATCATTTCACATACATACATATTAATTTAAAATTTTCACTCATGACACTTAATAGCTCACTCCCCACCCCCCACCCCAGGGAAAAACAACAACTCTCATCAAAGGCATTTCAAAATCCATGCTTCATTACGGAAGTTTTACAGATATTCTTTAAATATATTTCATGTACTTTTCTATCAAGTGTTTCAATGCCTGATATATACTTGGGACCTGAAAGGTTTTTTTATTGTTTTTATTTTTGTTTTTTCAAAGCTTAAAGCTAGGTGTGGTCAAGTTTTAAATACAAGAAGAAAGTGTGTAGGTATTAATTTTCCCCATTTTACAGAATTTATAGAAAAGGAAGAGAGCTTTTCAAAAGTGGCACCAACAGTGATAAGAGAGAAGGAGAATTCAAGTCTTCTAAAACCAAATCCAGTGATTTTTCTACTTCTTCATGCTGCCTCCTGGTGGCACTGAATTTAGTGTCTCTTGGGAGATTTCTGGACACTAGATTTTCTCTTTGAGGACATTTAAAAACCAGTTAGCAACTTTAAAAAACAGTTACATTTACTAAAGACTTAGATGGAGTAAAGGGTTTCCTAAAATGAATTACTAATTTCTTAACAGGTATACATTGACAAGTGTAACTCAACTATTTGCTTAATATGAACATTTCAGATTTGGTTACATTGGCCATTATGCACATGGAGAAAGTATTAACTACGTGGAAATAAGTCACTCAAAGCACAATGCACCATATTTCAAGGCAGTCCATGTACCTCCAGTGACTACTAACCATGCTTGTGGAGAAACAAGAAGCTGCAACTAGACACAAGAAGCACCCACAAGTAAGAGATAACCATCAGCTGATGACTTGTATTCCCTAAAGAATCAACCCCATGTTTTAGCAGGCTTCTTCTATATAAAATTTAAAATTAAACATAACAGTCAATATTTTAAAATTATCTCCCATTTAAAAATAAATTATGGACCAATAATTGTAAAATTACTATAAATTGGCATGGATGTCCTTCTGGAGGAAATATTTAACCAAAAGAAAGAGAGAAAATGACACAATGAAAGAAAGAAGGGAGGGGGGAGGGAAAAAGGGAGAAAGGAAAGGGAGGGAGGGAGGGAGGGAGGGAGGGAGGGAGGAAGGGAGGGAGGGAGGAAGGAAGGAAAATAAAGAATAGAAAAAGATTCTTTTTTTTAATTTTTAAAAGGTTGCTGAAAGAAGAAAGAGATAAATGCGGTTAGACTGAGTAAACCTTTTGCTTCCTATTTAAGCTGTCTCTCCTATCCTCCTTTCATTTCCTCATGAAACATCTTTTTTTAAGCTCAATTGATTTTCTTTCAGGAAATATGATCTTTTATGATTAGATACTTCTTAAAGTTCTTTACACTGAAGTAACCCCCAAACCATAAAGGTAAAAGTCTTGGTGACACTGTTCCTCATCAAAAATGGTGAACCCATAGGTTAAGGGTTATGACAAAGAGGGAAACATTCATGTAAATTCAGAAAACTTTTTTTTTTTTTTTAAGCTTGCATCCTGCCTTGTAGATAAACTGCAACCAAATTGGAGAATCAGTAACTAGCAAGCCCTTTCTTTTGCATATAGTGACCTCCTCTCTTTGTACTACAGGAAAACATTTCCACCTAGAGTCCTTTCACAGAATATCTAGAAACCAAATGAAATCAACCATAATGACTACCAGAGCCAGATAATAATCAGTTTTTAATTGAAGCATCAAGCCAATTAATTTGTGACAACATCCTATCACTGCTTATTCTAGACATGAAGTTTCAGAGGACTCAAAACAGTTTTGAGGTCCATGGCATCCAGGGAACATTTCACTGTTTAGTCTCTTAAAATCACATTTATCAGAGAGAGAAAAAAAAATCTTTAGGGTCCTAAAACTGAATTTGAGGTTACAAACCAGCCTCACTAGTTTGATTCTATTAATTGTCAAGAAACACATTTGTTATGCATCTTATACACAGATTGCTAATACTAGTAGATCTTCCTTTGGCTTCAGAGGTCTCTTTCAGAATGAAAGCTGAGCCCTTATTATGTATTTGTCTTGGTTAATTCAACTCAACAAATAAATAATTTGTGTCTATACATACAGATAACTATATTTAGATTAGTAACTATTATTTTGTCACAAAATTTCTACAACAGTTTAAGAACATAAGCCATCCTTTTTGAGATTTCAACAAGATATTTATTCTTGTCTCCTACACAGAGCTCTATCCAATGTAATACATTTAATGACAAACTTTATATAAATCTTCCTTGACATCATGCTATGTGTTATTCTGGAATGAAAAACATCAGTAAATTGGCCTGCTCCCATTTCCACTAAATTATACTTGTTATATAATATTAACTCACATATTTACCTTGATCAAAAATTATAGATGTCCTACACATACATGATAACCAAACCACTTCAGTCGTCATCAATAGGCAACCCCTTCCATTTAAATTCTTAGGGTGAAATACCTGACAGTACCTCACAAAACATTTTAGTTTTCAGCAGGAAGTGCTTCATTTCTTTTCTGCCTCACACTCTAACTGTATTGGAAGTAATGCAAGCTACAGGATGATGATGGTAGTAACTAAAGAACATCCCCTTCTTTTAAAATGCTAACCACTGCTTCATCTTTGAAAAAATATTTTGCACTTTCGGTATGTGGCCCAATATTTCACAAATGCTGGATCTCAGCTTTTATTCAGTATTCCTAGGATATTCCATGCCCCATCATATTTTCTGTCTTCCTTCACTGTTATTCTGCAGGTTTAATATCACAAGTCATGTTTGTTAAGATCTTGCCACCTTTAGAAGACTGATATTGCATTACTGAGTGTAAAATGACCACATATGGTATGCACAAACACAACGCAGCACAATGAAAATTACATACATTTCCTGCTGCCTGACAGACACGGTGTAATCACGCCAAGTACACACAATACCCACTCTTTTTTTTTCTTGTGGCCTAGACACAATCATCAAACATACTCTATGCCCACCGTGCCCAAGGCAATATCTAGCAGAAATGATTTTTGTTGGTGGCTTGAGCAAAGATCATGTCAAAGAGAGTGTGAAATGTGAAATGAATCAGACTTCATCAAAAAATCTTTAACTCCAAGGCTATTTCCCAGCACCCCCCCCCCCAAAACACACACACACACACACACACAAGCTTAACTTCACCCTCCTTCCTCCCCTTCTATTCTGGCCTTGACTTCCCTCTCATTCTTATCTCTCTCCCTACAAGTCTTTCAGCAGCTTTGCTCTGTTCTCAGAGCCAATCCCTTGGGGAAAGAAATCAGTAAAATGCTAGATGGTGAGACCTCATCATCAGGTGAAAAGGACAGGGGAGGAAAAGAAGAGGGTGTGGTACTCTTTTCTTCACCACACCCCACCCCTGGAGTCGCGCACTCTAGTCCACTGCGGCTCAGGGGAGCACAGCGGGTCCCCTCGCTCACCTCGGAGCAGCCCGGCCCCAAAACCAGCCACCCGGCACTCTCTGCAGAAAACTTCCCTTAAAGCAGGCAAATATTCAGGAGGGAAGGATGAAATTAGCGATTAGTTCGAACACACATTCCACGGAGCTCCACGGAACAAGACTGAAAGGCGCCTTTGGGTATGGACCCTACAGACCCGCACCCTCCACTCCCTCCCACCTTGGGTGTTTGGCTGAGGAGGTACGGAGAACCGCGGGCCGAGAGTGGAGAAAGAGAACATTACCTCCCGGGACTGCCCTCAGGGTGCGGGCCAGGATCGCATTCCCCAAGTGGCTCCGACTCAGGGCACAGCTTTACGGAGCTCAGCCCGGATTCGGACCCGCGTCCCCCGCAGCTCTGCGCTCAGGCTGGAGGCGCACCGGGACTCCGGCTCACATCCCCCGCCCAAGCCGAGCTCGCTTCCCCCTGCCGCGCCGGCTCCGCCACCCCGCGGGCACGCTCGCACCCCGCGCTCGCCCCTCCGCCTCCCGGCGCCCCCACACCCACCCGCTCCGCGGCGCCCGCTGGGAGCCTCTAGCGGAGGCGAAGGGAACCGCAGCAGACCCTCGGCGCCTGGGCTCCGACGCCCGCTGCACGAAGCCAGCCAGGCGGCGGCGTGGGCTTCGCGTGCCCGGCAATCCGCCGGCCGGATGCCGCCGCCCCCACTTGCCCACCTGCGCCAGGCTCACCTGCCACCGCGTCCTAGCGGCGTTCGCCAATGCCCAGAGCGCTCTGTGGCAACCAGGGGAAGGGGCTGCGGTGCTAGCGGGGTTAAAAAAAAAAAAAAATCTCGCCAGAAACACACACATGAATCCACGCTATAAATCAGCCCGGACAGAAGACCCAGCTCGATACCTATTTCCAATAGGTTCCAAAAAGTGTGAGGTCAGGACATCAGAACACTCCCTTCGGTTGCTGCCTCCCACCTGGGCACCGTGGCACCGGCTACTCCCTGACTTGTCCGCTCCAAGCCATTGGCGCGAGCTGAGCAATCTCGTGGTGACGCCCGGAGAGATCATCCTAACTTAGCTTTACCCCACATCCCAGCCCCAACATCTTTTTTAAGTTATTCCTCCTGGCAGCGGTTTTGCTGCCTCTTACCTTGAGACGCTGTTAATTCTCGTTCATGTCCTTAAAATCCAAAGCCAAGGATGCGTTGCACACAAGTCCAAGCTTTTCCTTGACACCCCCTGCCTCGGCTCTGCCGGCTTTTCCTTCCAAAGGGATCAGGAGGTGATGGCGGTCTAAAAGCCCTCGCACTGGAGGCGCCTCTAAATCTTCACGCCCGTGCAAACGGAGACGGGGACAACCTTCCTGGCACCCGGAAGCCTCCCAGCCCCTGCTCGGTCAACTTGGCTTTCTATTTAATTTTCTTCTTTAACCCTACAGGCCCATCAGTCAGTCAGTTCCCGGCATCAGGCAGGGAAGAAGCTCCTATTCTCAGTCGTGGCCGCTCCTCTCTTCCTCTAGATAAAAACCCCTCCCCCTTTCCTCCCCTGAATTTGGAAAATCTTCTACCTTCTGCTCGGATTTAGGTGGGGACAAGGCTGAGAGGTGCTGGAAGAAGAGCCACTCCAAGGCACAGAATCAGAAATCCATCTCCCTGGGCAGCCCTTGGCGAAGGTGTCTGCTCTGAGGAAACTTTGAGGGGAGGCAGTGGCTGCCGAGCAGGGCTGGGCGGGCGGCCGGCGGCCGGCGGCGAGCGCCAGGTGAGGAGGCTGCGAAGAGGGGGCTGCAAGGAGGAGGGACGCCAAGCAGGCGGCGGGCTGCTGGGTCCCGGCGGCCGGGCTCGGCGCGCGGGCTGCGCACACCCCCTCCCGCGCGCGCGCACAGCAACCCACGCACGCCCAGCCCCGCGCCGGCAGCCCCAGGCCACTGGCGAGCGAGAGGTCCGGAGGTGCGAGGAGGGGCCAGGGCTCCCAGGATGCAGAAGACGGGAAGACTCAGTCACTCCTCACTAGTTAGTAGATTGCTGCTGGCAGGCAGTTCCTCAGTGCTAGCCCTCAAGTCCGTTCGGCCGTCTCTCGGGTCCCTGCCCTCTCTGGCATCTCGGCCCCCTGCCCTTTTCCTGGAGGCCAGTTACTCTCCGGGGGCCCTGCGTGAGGTCGCCGGACTAAGGATTAACCCTGTCCCCATCTCCATCCTCCAGAGCCACCTCCGCCCCTTTTACCGTAGAGCTTTGAAGTGGCTGCAGCAGCTAGCTAGGGAGTTGAGGGGCTCCCCGAGGTCCTTCGAATAGAGGAGCCAATACATCTTTTCCTGGAATACACAATCCTCTCTCGCCCTCCTTTTCCTGCCCACTCCCTCACATAACATTTCCCCCTGAAACTCCAGTAGGTTTTCTAAAAAGGAACTGCCTAGGGATTTGTGACGCCTAGCTTTTGGAACTGGGCTAATTTACTATCTACGCTTATATTGTAAACTGGACGGTAGCAGGTGAACGGTTCGGCGGGAGAAAGGGGAGGGATTAGGAGTCGGGAGACTCAGCCCCTTTAGCGCCATTTCCAAGGTTTTGCACCTTGAGAAGCTCTCCTGGTCTCTGTCTAGCTCCTGTCCCAACTTATTGCTCTCCCCCCGAGAACCAAGAGGGATCACTGGGTGCCGCCCAGCTGGGGAACCCCAAGCCGGAGAGACTCCCGTCTCAGAAGCGCCCCAGGCTCATTCACTGCTCCCGGCGAAGGAGCCTCCTAGCGAGAGTTTGTCTTACCCGGACTGGGCTTCTGGAATTGCTCACCGAAAGTAAACTTTTACCCTCTGGTTTTTTTAAACCACGGTTCGCCTTTGTGCTCTGGAAGTTCTCTACACCAGCAGAGCATTATTCTGTCTTCCCAAGGGCTGGGGAGGCTGAGAACTGCTGTGGTTTTTTTCATTCGGGGCTTCGAGAATCTCTGCAGCTTGGGACCTGCCGGAAGAAAACACAAAGTTGCGCGGGGTGGAGACAGCGCGAGGTTCTTTTGCTCCCGTGCCGGGCGCGTCGCTCAGCCAAGGACTCCATTCAGATTGCTCTGTGGAACCAGGGCTCTTGACTGACTCTGGGAGTCCAATTCAAGTTGAAAGGCGGCGGACTTTGCCGGGAAGACAGTGAATGAACGCCGAACGTGCAGCTGCCGAGCCGCAAAAGTGGAACAAGTGGATGATTCGGTGCAAAAAAAAAAAAAAGAAGAAGAAGAAATTTGTGTTGATAGGAGCTCTAGCAGCACTACTCACAGCTCAGAAATCGATCCAGAGCATTCAAAGGTGAGCCTTGCCGCGCCCACGGTCTGTGGACCAATAGCTACCAATTTCAAGAATGAACATGCTTTGGATTCGGGGTGAGCCGACTCTGGAGGAAGCAGAGAGACCGAGAGGGATTGTCAGTTTTGGAGGGTGATGGATTGAGGCTGTCCCTTGGATCCAGGGAACCGCTGGCAACACCTTCCCGCTAACTTGCGACTGTGCAAATACAGATGCACGCTTGGGGAATCTGAGCGCTCGGGTCCGACGCGCCGGCTTTCCTGCTGATGCAGTTAAGAGAAGAGCTTGAAGCTAAACCGGGGAGCCTGCACGAGGGAGAAGTGAATAATGAATTTGGTGGTGAGATACTAAAGGATAAAGAGGCATTTCATTTTTGTGTGAATTAGTTTGCCAGGAGCGACTTTTTAGGTTTAATATTTCAAGATATATCATGGACACCGACTTTTTGCAGAATTTCAAGTGGAGGATGTTCCAGTGTTTTTGAATCTGGTATAAATCTATAAATTATCTGCTTGCCACAAGATTTGATGCTTCTTTGAATTTTGATTCTTATTCCTAGTTAATAAGTACTAATTGACTGTTCCTGGTAATAAAGTGAAGTGGCAATAATAGTTATAATTATTTCCAACAAAAGGCCATCTAGTTTATGGTTTCTGTTTACATAAGCCTATTGATTAATAATAAAATATTGTGGCTGACGATTAGATAAGAATTACAGAACTGTAATGCAGAGACTCGCTTGGTGAAAGAAAATTCAGAACAGACTTCTCTTCAAAAAGATGCTGGCTTGTAATTCCTTTTCTGGTTGGTGTTGATGTGCAAAACACTGTCGACTACTAATGGCTCTCTTAATAAATAACCATAGACCATTTACACATTTAATTCCTGAAAAGGTGTCATATAGTTCTGGAAAATGTTGTGGAAAGTCACGTGCTAGCCACAGAGTCTTTTTCACTCACCTTGAGCCTTTGGCTTATAAGATGTGTAGGCAGCAGTCGTAGTCAGGGGTATTATATTCTTGACATTTAAGCACCTTCGTTGAAGTAAAAAAGCTTGTGCATTTATGGACCCTCTTCAGGAAGCACTTACTTCTCAAAATAAATGCAGTTTCTTCAATGACTTGATTGTTGCAAAACCAAAGTCACATTTGTTATTTGTTATTCAAAGATAAGGGGATATGGGGATATGAATCATTCTTCCTCTCCCACTTTTCACACTTTGCTTTTATGAGGAAAAATAGTTGACCGTCAACAGAAGAAGCAAATCTCAAGGTCAGAGGATTCACTCCATTTCCTATATCCTCAGATCAGTCTACATTATCAAGAAAAAATTATTGAGACTCAAGGTACTCCAAGAGCCTTCCAAATCCCACTACCAAATTAAAATAACTACTTCATTATTCTAGTGTTCTATATTTCCCTGTATTTTTTGACAAGTGAAAATTGAATTTGATATATGGTATCTCTTTCAACGGAGACTTTCTTGAACCTTTTATTTCTTCAAGATAATTGCTGTGTAAAATATATTTTTAGAACACTTTTCGTCCTAGGAGATAGTGTTTAATCTACTGGTTTATTGCTTGTTATACATTAAAGTTACTCTTAGTTTACTGGCATGCCTTTCCCACTGTACTATGAGCTCTGGGAGCAAGGACGGTGTTGTATATGTTGCTGTTCCCCAACATCTAGTACAGAATATATCACAGAAGAGATGCACATAATAATGTTAGGGATGATAATGAAAGCTACCATTTACTGAGTAACTACTATGTGATGTGATTTTTGTACATTTTCTCAGTTGATGCTCTTCACAACCCTCTGACCTAAATTGTATATCCTCACATGGGGAAATTGATGCTTATGTAAATTTACCCAAGATCACAAAGCTATTTTCACAAATGAGTTGGTATTATGTTCTATATGTGCCTGACTCTGAAGCCTAAACTATTAACTACTTTGCTCTATTCAAATAGCCAGGCACCACATTTTCAATTTCCAAGGTTAAATGGAATTTACATATATTTAATGCCAAATAAAGAATATGTCAAATTTCAAATAAATTCTTTAGCACTTATGCAACCTAATCAATATCAAGTTAAGTGTAGGAACATTGAAAATAGTGTAGTTCTCATGTTAAAATATGGTGCTGTCTTCTAGGCATTATTATTGCCAAGAGATTGCCAAATGCTGAGTTGTAAGTTCTTTTGAAGGAAGGGGGATCGGGCCACCATGAATTTAAAGTTATAGAAAACTTTTCATTGTTTATTTCCATGTTGATATCCTTATGTTAAAAAAAGAAGGGAATGCTGTTATACGATTTCAGTTATACAGGATGAATAAATTCTAGACATCTGCAATATTATGCCTATAGTTAATAATACTGTATTGTACACTTACAAATTTGAGAGTAGCTCTCCTATTAAGTGTTTTTACCCAGTTAAAAAATAAAAATAAGAACCTGAGAACACAGAGGACATTGAATATAGAAGGGCATCAGAACAAGTCCAGAGATGTACTTGTCATTTCCGGAGGCTCACATTACAAAAACATTTCTTAAGTCTTGTATCACTACAGTACAGATACAGTATACCCATCCCACAGGAGACTATATTGCTCTGGAAAAGAATAAGGAAGTTTTCTTCATACTGATATGGAAAAGCCTACATGATATTTTTAGGTGAAAATAGCAAGGTTTAGTGAGAAAACATCAGAAATTCATAAAAGTAGTTAGGATTGAGAAGTAAATGGGCAAATGGTGTCAAGGGTTGAGATAAGACTATATGTATGTACGTTCATAGGTAGGAAGGTATTTGGAACCATGTGAAAACTTCCCCTGTCAAAAGAAAAAAAGTGTTCTTAAGGAATTGCATGGAAAGAAGAATATAACAGATGCATCTCCTCCATTCCTGAAAAAAAGAAAGTTAAAAAGAGTTAAAAAGTTATAACTTCAAATTCATGGAAGGTGTAAGAGAATCTGGTCTGTGGTACATTTACTCATTCACTCTTTACCAGAGAGAGACCTTGGGGCAAAGAGCAGAGGGAAGTGTGTTAGCCCAGGTTGCCATAACAAAATACTACAGACTGAGTGGCTTAAGCAGCTGAAATTTATTTCTCATGGTTTTGAAGTCTAAGAAGTCCAAGATCAAGATGTCAGCTGATTCAGTTCCTGGTAAGAACTCTCTGTCTGACTTGTACAGTAGCCTTCTCTGTATATTCTCATACGGAATTTACTTGATGAGTGCATATGGGGAGGGAGTTCCGTCTTCTTATAAAGCCACTAATCCTATTACGAGG